GTGAAGACAGGTACAGGGTGCTGGAGAGACAGACACAGAGAGAGAGAGAGGACAAAGACAGAGACACGGGGGACAGACAGAGACAGACACACAGAGAGAGAGAGGACAAAGACAGAGACACGGGGGACAGACAGACAGACAGAGACAGACACACAGAGAGAGGACAAAGACAGAGACACGGGGGACAGACAGACAGACAGAGACAGACACACACAGAGAGAGAGGACAAAGACAGAGACACGGGGGACAGACAGACAGACAGAGACAGACACAGAGAGAGGACAAAGACAGAGACACAGAGAGGCAGAGGCATAGAGAGACAGACAGACAGAGAGACAGAAACACACAGACAGAAACATAGACACAAAGACACAGCGAGCTGGAGACTGAGGGGCTGAGGCCAACCCCTCAAGTGTGTGGGGAGGGGCACTGGACCCAGAAGTCCTGGCCTTCCTGACCTGTTTGGGCCTCCCCCAGTTCCCAGCTGAGGCCTGTGCGGGCAGCTATGAGAGTCTGAGTGTCTGGACCAGGTGAGGGCCCTGGGTTACTGGGGGTCACTTGGGGGATTCCAGCTGGGGCCCCTGGGTGAGGGACCAAGGGGAGCCCACATGAGGCCCTGGGGGGCCCAGTGCACGTGTCCCAGGGCCCTGGGGGCTACCTGGGGAGGTCCTGGGGAAGGGGTCCTGGATGAAAAAGTCTGACAGGGCCCAGATACTGGCCCTGGGGCGTGACAGCCCAGGGGGTCCTTACCGGGGGGCTTTGCGAGCAGCGTCAGGGTGGTGGTGGCCACAGTCAACAGCAGGTGGCCCCCGCCCCCCACCCCGGGCCCCATGACCTGTCGCTGGCAGCGTCTCCTTCAGAGGTATGCAGACTATGGCCCTCACCCCCCCCCCGGCCAACGGCCCTGGAAAGGGGCAACAAGGGGGATGTGGCCTGTGGTCAGCCTCAGGCTTCCTGAGCACCGCCCAGTTCTCAGTGGGGGTTTCTGGGAACTGCATTCTGGCTGGCTGCGGTCATTGTCGGTCCTAGTGATAGCACGGGGGCCTAGAACCACAACCGAGGGCAAGACACTTCGTGCCAGATGCCTCAGTTTCCCAACTGTGTGGGAGCTCTGCACAGCGCCTGGTACACAGGCAGGGCTCTGTAACGCAGACCAGCTCTCTGCCTGCCCAGGACCCGCCCTGGGAGCCGGATTCCTCACCTGCAAGCCCAGCGCTACCTCAGGGCAACGAGGACAGTGAGGGGACCAGCTATGACTGTTGCTGCCCTGTTGGATTTATTGCGTGACAGCTGTCTACCATGCCCCCATTAGATCCCTGCCCCTGTCTCGCTGGCTGCCTTCGGGGTCTGACAGAAGACAGAGCCAGACAAGTGCAGTGGCACTCGGGCCGTGCCTCGGTGTCCCCACCTGGGCAATGGGAATTCCCTGTGGTCATGGATTCCGTGAGGTGCCGGACACACGGCCTGGGGCATGCAGCTGGACACAGGTGGCTGTTACCATCCTGGCTGCTAGGGCCGCAGGGCCCGGCTGGTGGATTCCCATCTTGTAAATATCCTCGCCATTGCCAATTTCAGCTAAGCAACTTGAAGGTGCAGAAGGAGGCATCACAGAGGATGGGCCAGAGCCGAGAGCCAGCTCCTGCAGCCAGCAACAGAAGCTACCGTGGCCTCTGGTGATGGTGGGTGCTATGACTACTTGAAGACAGGGGTCTGTGAGAGCCCCCTCCCAGGCACACAATGTGGAGATCAGGGAAGATCTCTGGGGGAGGTGGCTTCTAACCTGACCCCAGGGAGCTGGTGGAGGAAGAGTGAGGGGCAGGCGCTCCAGGCAGGGGTCACAGTAGGTGCAAATGCCTGCTCAGAGGCTAAGACGAGCTAGCCCCTTGGGCTCAGGGCTGAAATGTAGGCTGTGATGGCCCAACGGCTCAAAGATCTACAGGGAGTGTCATTCGGGGCTGGGAAGGAGGCCTGAGAGGGAGAGGCGTCTCCTGGGAGCACAGGGCGGCCACAGAGGCTGTGCAGCAGACTAGGAATAATGGCTGGACCACTGAGCTGCTCAGAGGAAGCAGGCCGGGCACCACGTGGCTTGGGAAAGCTTTATTTGGGGTGAGGCCTCTGTTCCCCTCAGTAGTGCTGTAGCACATCCCTGATCCAGGACATGAAGGTGGACACTCGAGTGTAGACATCCGGGAGGTAAGGGTCCCCGCACAGCATGGAGGAGAAGGACACCAGCCCGTGCAGCTGGCCTCGGCACAGGAGAGGGCCCCCGGAGTCGCCCTGCAGAGAGAGCGGCCATGACTGAGACATGGGGCTCGGCGGGCTTCCCCACGCAGGCTGGGGCACCAGGGCTGTCGGCGGCCGGGCTCACCCCGCACACCCCCCAGCAGCCCCTGGAGGGGCTAAGACGCTCACCCCGCACACGCCGCGGCGGTCCCCGGAGTGGGCTAAGGCGCAGACCATGTCCTGTGTGATGGACCCTGCCCAGGACTTGTTGCAGGTGCTCCGCGGCTTGACCACCACGGTGGTCTCCAGCAGTGCGGCCGGCAGGTCCCAGTGGCCGGTGGTGTCACCCCAGCCTGTCACTCGGCACTGTGTGCCTGGGCACAGATCACGGTTCCGGCCAGGCAAGGGCACAGGGCGGACGGAGCCGGTGAGCTGAGCAGAGGCGTTGAGCTGGGGGTGGGGGAGGAGGGATGGTATGGGAAGGACCCAGAGAAGAGATATAGATGGCCATGGTGGACAAGCAGAGACAGAGACAGGAAATAATGATAATAATAGCAGTGGCAGTGGCCGTGTGGGCCCAGGCCACACATAAGCCCACGCTGTGCGCCAGGCGCCGCGTGCGGGGCTCCCTGCCTTGCCCTCCCTCCTCGAGCTGCCCCACCCATCCCGCCCACTCTGGCCACCTTGAGAAGCTGGAGGTCGTGGGTGTCCAGCTGGGCGTTGTACAGTGGGTAGGGCACGGCCCTCACGAGGGTGAACACCTGCCAGGTGGGCTCTGGCGTTTGCAGGGCGTGGGCCCCCAGGACCACCCGGAAGGCGCTGAGGTTCCTGCCGTGGGAGGAGGCCCAGGTCAGCGTGCTGTGCCACAGGGTCTGAGCTACAGCCCACCCTCGGCCCCCAGCACTCACCAGGCCACCTGGCAGTGCGCGGCTGTCAGCACCCAGCGTGGCTGCACCAGCACGGCCCCGCAGATGTGCTTGTCCCCCAGCTGCAGGGACACCATGAAGGGCCTGGAATGGGGCTTCACCTCACGGCCCCCCACGATCCTGCTGCCACGATGCAGGGCGCCTGACGGGGCAAAGCTGGGTGAGGCCCAAGAAGGCACTGGCACCCCACTGGCCACATGCCACTCTAAGTGACTGCATGAGTCCCCTCTGGCTGCTGCAGGTGACCACGAACGTGGTGCCCTAAAGTGACACATATTATCACTCACAGACCTGGGGGGCAGGAGTCCACGTGGGTCTGATTGGACTAAAGTCGGGGTGTGCCAGTTCCTCCCGGAGGCTCCAGCCTTGCCCAGCTTCTAGAGCCCCCCGTTCCTTGGCCTGTGGCCTCTTCCTGTGTCTGCAAAGCTGGCAGCGAGCATCCCCCAGTCTGTCTCGGCCTCCACCCTCACATCTCCCCCGGACTCTGCTCACTCTGTCCTCAGATTAGGACCCTGTGATCACAGAGCCCAGGTGGTCTAGGGTCACCTCCCATCTCAGGACCCTTCATGTCACCCATCTGCAGGGTCCTCTCTGTGAGGCAGTGTCCGCAGGTCCCAGGGATGAGGGTGGGGACACCCCTTAGCCCTCATAGTAATGTGATAATCTTGATGTTTGTTTCTTCATGTCACTAATGGGGAAAGTGAGGCACAGAGAGGTTGAAGCCTTGGCCAAGGTCACACAGCGAGGATGCCACACAGGAGCCTTGGCCAAGGTCACACAGCGAGAATGCCACACAGGAGCCTTGGCCAAGGTCACACAGCAAGGATGCCACACACGGCTGCAGCCTGAGACGGGCGTCAGTCCCTGCTGCTGGGGGTGGAGCCCACCCGCCCCAGCACTTCCTTCCCCTTTGATGAATGGTGGTGAAACTCCACATACAACCGTTTTTTGCTCGTTGTCCCAAATAACCACACTCCCAGCAGCCCGCAGGGGTGGGGTGGGGTGGGGGTGTCAGCACTTCCATTCTCCAAACTGAGGTCCAGAGCGGGGGGCCTGCTTGTCAGGAGCCCACGGCAGATGGTCTCGAAGTCAGGACTCCTGGACTGCAAACCGGGAAGGGCCCTCTGGTGCAGGTTGGAACAACGTCCCTGCACTCAGACTCCTCAGAACGCAACAGCGATGGTGAGGCGACAATAATAATCCTGGTTCAGGGGAGCTGTGTCCCCTGAAAGCACTTCAAGTCCTAGCCCTGGAACCTGGGAAGGTGTCCTTGTGGGAAATAGGCTCTGTGAGGCTGTTATCAATTAACCTGCCATGAGGTCAGAGCAGAGAGGGGGCGGGGGGGGGGACCCATGTAAGCTGAGTGTCCTTATCAAAGAAAACACACGGGGGACAGGCGTGCGACCAGGCGGGCAGAGGTCAGAGTGAGGCACCAACCAGCCAAGGACCCCCACGGATTGCCACTGTCCCCAGCAGCCAGGAGAGAGGCACGGGATGGAATTCTCTGTGGAGCCTCAGAAGGAATTGATACTATGACACCTTGGTGTGAACATCTGGCCCGACTGGTGACTGGTGAGACAAAACGCTGTGATGCTTCTAGCCACTGAACTTATGGTACTTTGTTGCGGTGGCCACAGGAGCTGAGTACAGCTGCACTTACGAAACCCTGACTTTTGTTATTGATTTGTTGAGCTCGTTATATATTGAGGATTCGCTCTCAGTCATATAGGAGAGAAGACACAGCCCCCCCCCCCCCGGGGAATGAGTTCAGATTTGATTATCTGCAGATGAAGGAACTGAGCCTGGCCGACCAGAGCCGGGCAGCTCCAGTCGCCCCCAGGCCGTCCCCTTCGCACTCACCTGTTCCCAGGGCTGTGGCGCAGGTCAGGAGGACTGCCAGGGTCTGGGCTGTCAGCAGGCTGCTCCACATGGCTCAGGACTGCTGGCCCCGGCCTGTGGGCCCAGGTCATGCAGCTGGAGGGAGGGAGCCGGGAGCCCTTCCCTGTGGGATACTCTGTCCTGCGTCCGCCCCGTCTGTTCCTGGCCCCTTTGGGGACTTGTGAAATTTACGGTTACAGCACCAACGGTTCTCAGTGGGGGTGGAGGGGACCAAGCAGCCTTAGCAAGGGCTGAGCTGGTCTTCCTCACCCAGCAGGGCATACAGTTGGTGCTTATTTGTTGCCCTGGGCAGGGTGTGCAGCCGGTGTCCATCGCCTGACCCAAAGTAGGTATGCGGCTGTCACTCATCACTCAGCCTGGGGTGGGGCGTGCCTTCGGTGCTTTGCAGGTGCATAGCCCGACTTGGTTTACAGCAGCTGGTGCTACGGAGGGGTTAGGGGAAGGGGCAGGGTTTTCAGTCAGGCACCGAGGGGCCAACGGCAATGGAGGAGGTGGGAGGGCAGACATTCTCACTGGGTTCCAAACTGCCTGCCTGCTGCAGACAGGTGAGAGAAGAGATGGAGGGGCTGGGCTGCAGGGCACCGGGGAGCCATCGAGAGTGTTTGAGCAGAGGCGTGCCCAAGTGGAGCCCTCTAGTGAGAGACTGGAGTTGGAGCAGAGGCAGGGACACAGGCTGCAGGGCTGGAGATGGCGTAGGGGATGAGGTCTGAGCTCAGACCAGGCCCGGGGGGAAGATGAGGCTGTCCACAGCTCCGGGACAGGAGAGGGGTCGAGTTTGGGGCCGACGTAGAGCCCAGTGTGAGCCTCGTGGGGCCAAGCGCCGTACGGATGTCCAGGGAACGGCCTGAGTTGGGAGGTGGGCTGGGAGCAGGAGCTGGAGGGCTGGGCACGGCTCTGGGGACAACAGTGTCTCCAAGAGATAAGCAAAGTTGCCAGGGAGTTGGGAGGAGAAGGGGGCATTGCCGTGGAAACCACAGATGCCAGGTGGTCCAGGAAGAGGTGGGGCCGCACCTCCCCAGAGGCGGCACCAGGGGGCAGCCACGGCTCATCCCCCGGCAAGGTGGGGCTGCAGCGGCTCTGGGCGAGCAGAGGTCGGGAGGGTGCAGTGCAGACACCCCTGTGCAGGCAACCCACCCGCTGTAGCCCGTTGTGCACCCCAACATGGTGCCACCTCCACCTCTGCCGGGCTGCTGCCATCACCAGCTGTGTCGGCCCACGAGGCCCACCCCCAGGGGCCTCCAGGACAAGGCTGCCTGTGTGCGGAGTCTGGGGGTGTGGATGTGTGTGGTTTTCTGTGTGGGGGCCTTGAGGGGTGCAGAGAGAGGCTGGCTTCAGCTGTGAGGGAGGTGGTAGCCTGGGAGGGTAGGGCTGGGAGGGACCAAGGAACAAGGACTGTGACGCCCAGGGCCCTCCATCACCCCCTCCTCCCCGCCCTCCTCCCCCTCCTTCTCTGTTGCTTGCTTTTTTTTTAAATTATTTTATTTTACTTTTTTACGTTTTTCTGTCTTTAAACAGACTTTTTAAGATCAATATTATGTTTACAGAAAAATTGCACATAAACACTGAACCAAAAAAAACCCACTCACTGACACTGAGTCCACTCTCTCTCATAGCGACCCTCTTTGGCTTTCCTCGGCAGTAAATCTTTACGTAAGTGGATTGCCCGCTCTTCCTTGCGCGGAGCAGCTGGTGGGTTTGAACCACCAGCCGTCTGGTCAGCAGTCAATGCCTCGGCACTGGGTCCCCAGAGCTCCCATATATACTTCTTCGCCATACCGGCTGCTTCTGGGCCACTCCCATCCTGAACTGCTGTGAGACACTGTGTTTAAGCTAATTGTTACCGTTGATACCTTAGTGTGAACTGAAGTCCACAGGTTACACTGGGGTTCCCAGCCCTGCAGCGCTGATCACCACGCCTTCCTGCCTTAAAGTGCACGCTCTCGATCCCATTTTCGTGGGGAACTGGGGCTCAGCTGACACAGCTGCCCAAGCTCATCACAGGGAGCCTTCTTGGTGAAGTCAGACCTGGCTGAGAACATCAGAAATTCACCTGTTCACAGTCCGGAGACCAGAAGTCTGAAACGAAAGTGTGGGCGGTCGCACTCCCTCCGCAGCCTCTGGGGGTGGGTCCTTCCAGGTCACTCCCCACTGCTGTGGCCCCAGGTGGCCCTGGACCGTGGTGCGTCCCTTTGCTGTCTGCTTCTGCCCTCCCATGGCCGTCGGCCCTCTGTGTGTGTCCGGGTCTCTTCTCTTTTCTGAGGGCCACCCCACACTTCTGTTACCTCGGGAGCCTGGGAGTAATGACATCTGCAGAGACCCTATTTCCAAATGTGGTTGCATTCACATCCTGGGGCTAACACTTCAACACATCACTTTGGGGGACACGATTCAATCCATAACCCCTAAAACCCACTGCCATTGAGTCAATGCTGACTCATAGCGACCCTATGGGACAGAGCAGAACTGGCCCATGGGGTTTCCAAGACTGTAAACCTTTCTCCCCCAGAGCGGTTGGTGGGTTTGAACTGCCGGCCTTTTGGTTACCAGCAGCTGAATTCTTTACCCACTGCACCAGCAGAACTCCCTCAATCTATGCCTGCTGCTGTTAGGTGCCATTGAGTCAGCTCTGACTCACAGCGACCCGGTGCACAGCAGAACGACACACTGCCTCGTCCCGCACCAGCCTCACGGTCCCTGCCACGCACGAGTCCGTGCTCGCAGCCACCATGTCGGTCTGCCTCATTGAGGCCCTTCCCCTCCTTCACTGACTCTCCACTTACCAAGCACGACACCCTTCTCCAGGGAACGGTCCCTTCTGACAACATGACCAAAGTGGGTGAGACGAAGTCTGGCCATTCTCGCCTCCAAGGAGCATTCCGGCTGCACTTTCTCCAGGACAGACCTGTTAGTTCTCCTGGCGGTCCGTAGGACTTTCAGCATTCTTCACCAGCACAGCTCAGAAGTATCAACTCTTCTTCGGTTTGCCTTATTCACTGTCCAGCTCTCACATGTGTATGAGGCTACTGAAAATGCCATGGCTTGTGTTAGCTGCACCTTAGTCTTCAAAGTGACATCTCTGCCCCTCAGCACTTTAAAGAGATCTTTTGTAACAGATTTGCCCACTGCAATAAGACATCTGATCTCTTGAGTGGTGGTTCCGTGGGTGTTGATTGCGGATCCTCGTAAAATGAAACGCCTGACAACTTCACAATGTTTTCTCCATTTATCCTGATGTAACCAAACCCAAACCCAAACCCGCTGCGAGAGTCGATTCTGACTCATAGCGACCCTCTTCAGGTTTCTGAGGTGGTAAATCTTTACAGAAGGAGATTGCCCAGTCTTCTTTCCACAGAGTGGCTGGTTCAAACTGCCAACCTCTGGTTAGCAGTCAAATGCCTTGGGCACTATTCCACTAGGTAACGGTGTTCAATAAATATTTCTGCATTATATCAGTACAGAGGCCTGGGAGTGGCGCTGAGGCTACTCCCAGCAAGCTTACTTTGACGGGTGCCTAGTGCAGGGATCAAGGAGCTCTGGTGGTACAGTGGGTAAGGAACTCGGCTATTAACCAAAAGGTCAGTGGTTCGAACGCATTAGCTGCTCTGAGGAAGAAAGATGAGGCAGGCTGCTTCCATAAAGATTTACAGCCTTGGAAACCCAGTGAGGGTCGCTTCGAGTCAGAATCTTCTTGCTGGCAATGAGTTTGGTTTGGTGAGTGCAGGGATCAGCAACTCTTGTCCCTGGGGCACATCCATCCCACCACCTGCTTTTGTAAATAAAGTTTTATCGACACACAGTCCTGAGCCTTCATTTACATACCGTGTCTAGCTTTTCTCTGCGAGGACAGAGCTGAGCAGCTGCCACGCACAGTCTGGTCAGCAAAGCGGAAATATTTACACTCTGGTCCTCTACGGGGAAGTGGGCCAACCCTCAGCTAGCGAGTGCCGGGCATGTGGCAAGCCCTCTGTGTTTACTCAGCCTTCCCAGCAGCCCAGGCAAGTGGAGAAAGGGAGACTGACCGGGGCCACACAGACCCAGGACACAGAGCAGGGCTAGATTTGAACCCTGGGCCCTGACGGGTCTCAAGCTCTTTCTGTTTTTTGTGTGTGTTTGCTAATATAGCTAAGGGTTTTTTTAATGCTACAGTGAACGAGTGTCTGTTGTAAAAACTGGGAAATGCGGGAGCAGCAGGCAGAGCTGGACCCCGAGGTTGAGGGGCTTTCACCCAGCCCCTAGAGCCTGGCACTTTGAACTTGGACTTAAAGCCTCCAAATTGTAAGAATAAACTCCAGTTTGTTAAGGCCAAAAAAAAAAAAAAACCTGGGAAATGCAATGGTCTGTAAAAGAAAGGAGTCCTGGTGGCTCAGCGGTTAAGCGCTTGGCTGTTCACCCAAAGGTTGACAGTTCAAATCCATCAGCAGCTCCGTGGGAGAAAAAGAAGGCAGTCTAGACGCTTCGGTGCTGATTCCAGCCTCCGAGACCCTCGGGGCAGTTCCACCCCATCCTCCAGGGGCGCTGTGGGTCGGAATGGACTGACAGCGGTGGGTGCCCCTCCAGTCTGGGGTCCATCCCGCGAAGGCCTTCTCCAAAGCTCATTGGAAGCTGTTCTCTGGCAAACACATACTTGTTATCTTTTATTATTGTGGTAAGACACACATGAAGGGCGCCATTTCAAGCCCACAAGCCAATGACATTAATGGCACTCACCACACTGTGCAACCGTCACCACTATTCCCAGATCTTTCTTACCACTCCCCACCCCAGCCCGCCCTGGTGACCGCTAAGCTGCACTGTTTCTGTCCTCTGCCCAGTCCAGTTATTCATACCAGTGCAGTCCCACGGTCCTCGGCTTCTGCTGACATCTGAACCTACGGACCGAGCGCCTGCAGGACCTTCAGGTGAAAACCAAGGAGTCTGCAAGAATCAACTTCTCCAGCCTCACTCCAGTGAGGGGCTGCAGGGCCCGAATAAAGGACCTCAGAAGGTCCATGTGGGATGAAGGTCCTGCCCCCTCCCACTCCGGGAGGAGCTCAAGCCAGACTGCAAGGCTCCGGCAGGAACCCACTGTCTCTTTCCTCTCCCCTGTCCAGGCTTCCCCACGCTGGGGAGCCCCACCTGGCTCAGCCTGGGCTCCGACTGTGTGTCCAGCCACCCACCTGACACCGCCCTTTGGCAGCCCTCAAACGCACCTCATCTCCGCTGATGTCACACTGGTGTCAGCTCTCCACCCCCCTGCCCAGGGGCTCAGACTGGACACACAGGGGACCTTGCCGGGCACGGCACCCCCACATCCCATCTGGTGACAAATGCATCCAGAATCCATCCTGTCTGGGGGGCATTAGCCCAGCCTCTTCCCTGCCTCCCCTCTTTGTCCTTCTTAATCCAGCTCCCACCTGGCAACTTGAAGGGCCTTTCCAAAAAGAAGTCGGTAGGGCCGTCTCCTGCTCTAACTCTGCTGTGGCTCCCTGGTGCCCTCAGACAAAGAGAGCTCTCCCTGGTTTCCGCCCTCTGTTCCCTCCACCACGGCCCCAGCCCTTAGCCCAGGGTGGCCACACGGCTCCGCGGCTCCAGCCCAGCGTATTGGGGCGGTCACTGTTGCCCTGCCTCACACCTGCCCAGCTCGCTTTGACCTTTGGGCCTTCCATTAGCGGTTCTCTCCACCGGGAGGGACTCTCCTCTCCGGGATACTCCCACAAATGGCTCCTCGTCGGCCTTGAGGTTGTAGCTGAAATGTCAGCTCCTGGAAGCGCCTCCCCGACCTCCCGGGTCCCGCTCTTCCCTCGCCCCGGGTTTTCTGGTCCACATTGGCGCCTTGAAGATTCGGGAAAGGCATTTGCATGTTGACTGACTTAGCGTCGGTCGCCTCCTCCGGACCTGGACCTAGGGAGGGGCTCGGGAACTGGATGAATGACTCGGGGTGGCCGGCAGCGGAGAGGAGGTGGCCTGTCGGTGCCGCCCTGGCCCGGAAGGACTCAGGCCAGAAGACCAGGCGCTGGGCGGCGGGTGGCGGTGTGCGCGCGGATGGGGGGCGCTGCTGCTGCGGC